AATATTATATTATGTATGTATTTTTTTTATACCTTATATAGAATCTAATATTATGTAGACTATATATTTAAACCATATGTAGCCATATTTAGGCTATATATATTAGAAATTTGAAGGTTTTAGATTTGTTCTATATGTTCATAAGATGCTGTAATTGATGCTCTATTGATACCTCTAAGATACCTTCTAAAATTGAGATTTCTACTTAAATTCTTATACATAAGTATGTTTCTATTTATTAATTCTATTTTACTTTTATCTAGAATCTTCTATACTTATCTTCTACTAATAATTGTCATTTGATACTTCTTTTGTATTCTTTTGTTGAAAAACAACTTGTGAAATAATTTGATGATTCATATATTGAATTCAATTCTTTTATAGATTCTTCAATAATTGAAGGACTTTCTTCTTCACTAGTTATATTTATCAAATTTGTATCATTTTTACTACCTAAATTTATATCTTTTATTAATTTTTTAAATTTAAATCTTCTAAACAAACCTTTTTTTCTATTGTATTATTCTTTTCTATTAGTGATTTTTTAATCAATTCTTTCTCATCTTATTTCTTCTTTTTTTCATTTATATAATCTATAAATATGATGTCATTTATCAACTTGTTCCTTTGGAGTTTTTGAACTTTTAAGAAATCCGATTTCTTAATTTATTATTTGCTATAGTATCTAAATTTAGTATTCATTAATTTTTATATATTTTGTGGTTTCTTTTTCAACTTTTAATTGAATATTTTTCTGATATGGTTTTCATATTTGCAAAATCTAGATGGCTTGAAAGACTCTTATATTAGATAAATTTCTTACTTACTAAAATTGATCTTCATACAACATTCATTGATACAAATCCTTTTTCAATATGTATTTTGTCTTTTCTATTCTTTTGATTAAAATCAAATATTTTCTCTTTTTATTTATTTTCTCAATTATCCTAGCTTGATGTAAAATATAAAATTATTCCATACCATTTCTATTTATGGTTTTTAATACTCTTAATAAAGTTGGTAAGTTCCATTTATAAACATCACTTATCTTTACTAAGTAAATTTTATTAAAATTATGAGTTAATAAATTTAATTATTGAGATAGCAATATATCTCCAACATAATCTCCAAATTAATACCTTGATTCTCATACCTTAAGAATCATAGGATATACCTTCTATGTTTCTTCATAGAAACTATTTCTATACTTACCTTAAGTCCTTGAAGTTCTTATTCTTGTTGAAGTCAAGGTTGGACAATTCAATTTTAAATCTAACTTCAATATCTTTAATTTGTCAATCTTAACTTATCTTCTCTAATCTAGTCTTCAAAGCTCTTTCTTCCTTGTGTTGAAAAGCCTCTATATCTTTATAAATTTAATCTTATCTTTATCTTCTTCAAATTAGTCTTTAAAGTTCTTTCTTTTTTGTATTAAAAAATCTCTACATCTTCATGAACTTTATCATATAACTTTCACAACTTATTCATAGATCAAAAGTATGTAATAAAATGACATACAAGTATGTCAAATGTAATCACTTTATTATGATTTTCTTTTGATAATTATAATATAAATTTGAATCTATTTATAGCTTCTTTATAGTTAGTTTCTTTTAATAATATTTAAATATAGTAAAACTAATTTATTTCTAACTACCATAACTATCAAAGGTGGTTTCAACCACCTTGTCTTATAAACATATAAGTAGCTAATTTCTTTGCCGTTTTACTCTTTTTTATCTTTTTCTAACCTTATTTATACTTATTTCTATAATTTTTTTTAATACCAAGTCTTTTTTTTTTCTTCTTTTATAGTAGTTTATTTTCTTCTCATTTCTTTTTAATCTAAAATTCTTCTATTATACATCTTCTTAATAAAATAATATATTTATTTTATTAATTCACTAATAAACTAAATTTCTAAGGTTAACACTCATATATGTCTCCACTACTATCAAATTTGCACCAATGTACAAGATATTCGAACTTGTATAAGTATCACTTTAAATTTAAGACTTCTTCTACTTTAAATTCTTTATTTTTATTTTTTTAATAAAAGGTCGTGATGATTGCTTTAATTTTAGTATATTTATTGTAATATAAGGATTTAAGGAGACAAATCAAATATAAGATAAATTTTTATTGATTGTAGTAATAGCAATCAATATACAATTAGATCAAGTTTTTTTGGATAATAAATTGATCAATCTTTAAAAAATCTAGTTTATTACAAGGTTGAATTGTCTTAATTTTATAATAAAATAATAATATCTTTATACCAACTTTAAATGGAGGTTGTATTTTTTTAAGTACAACTGTATTAGAATTTTGTTATTTTTGAGATTTTTTTTAGTTGTATCTTTATTTTTGTATAAAGTTCTACTATTCTACTTTCACAATATTTTTATTATTTTATTTTTAATCTTTAAAAACTAAATAGTATCAAATTATGGATAATAATTATAATTAACAAAAAAAATAGTTTTTTTCAAATTATATTTTATTATTATATAATAAAAAAAAAAATATTATGTGAATTATAGATTAGAAATGTGTTAGATATGTAGATATAAAAGATTTTTTTTGAAAGCCTAAGATTGTACTTATGAGTCAAAAAAAAAAAAAAAAAAAAAAAAAAAAAGTTTAGAAATACTCTTTATTACAACCTTGATCCTCTTCGTAAATCTAAATCTAAACAATTTAAAACCTTATTAATTACAAATCTCAACTCTTGCCAAATCTTAACAATCTAATAAATCCTCAACAAATCCAAACAAAAACTTGAACAAATTTTTAAATAAACTCTAAAAACTCCTATGAAAACTTTAAAAAATCTTATTAAATCCTAAACAAATCTTGATCAAATTCTGTTGAATTCTAAGAAAATTTCAAAGAAATCCAATTAAATCGTAAAAAAAACTTAAAAAAACTCTATCAAATTCTAAACAAATCTTATCAAGTTCTTATAAAACTACAACTACATTTTTTTTTTATATTGACAATAAAAGAATGCATCAAGAGTGAAAATTAATTTAATATTAATTTAATGTTACCATACAAATAATTGTATGTGTCTAAGTTTATTTAAGAATTAGTTCTTTTGATTATTAAAATTAATTTTAAAATATACTCATTTCAAAATACCTCTTTATTGATGTCATTAAAGTATGCACCTAGGCTTCATGTAATAGCAAGCTTCAAGTGACATATTAACATTAATATATCTATACCATTTATAATACTTGATAAATATAAAAATATATAAATAAATAAATAAATAAATATCAACAATAAATATAATTTTTTTAGTACTTCTATTCTAAAGTCATTCATATTTATATCTTGTACCATTAATACATAATTAAATAAAACATCTATTAATTAGAATATATTGGTATATACTTACTTACAACAATTAGTTTTTTTGCATCACATATTTAACAATATGTTTCCTACTCTTATTATTACTTTTTATCCAACTAAATATTTATATACCATTAATGATTTTGTAATAAAAAATTATTTGTAAAAAAAAAATACCTACAATTATATAAACCATCAATCAAATTCATGTCACAATGTACAATTTATAGCAATTGACTTTAGTGATTGTTATTTTATATTTGTCATCCAATCAAAAAAAATTATACATTGTACTGTTCCAAGAGATTTTAAGGTCTAAAAATAAGATATACCAACCAAAAGTTAAATATATATATATGTTAAGAGTAGAATGGATTACAAGAAATATTGAAGGCCAAGAGTACAAAACATAAATCGTAAAAGTTCATTAGACAAGATAATAACATTAAAATAAATAATTTATATATTATAAAATAAAAAAATATATTAGTTCTTTTTTTAGTAAATTCTTTTTAAATCCATAAATTCTTTATTTAAAATATCTAAAGCAATAAGAAGATTTTTTTATTTCTTAAAATTTTAACCTTATATATATATATATATATATATTGGGAGTTGTTAAGATGGACAAAGAATGGGAGATGGACATAGAAAACAAGGAATGGGGATTGGGAATAGAAAGATTGTAGACAAAGATGGAGATGGATGAAATCAATCATTAGATGGTAATGTGGGGTGTGGCTTTTATAACTCCTTAGATATATATGATAAAGTCTACAAATCCATTGGTCCAAAATTTTAAAGGTGTTTTTAAAAGTTTATTTGAAAAATCTTAATTCTAATGTATTTTAGAGTTATATTGAAAACTACTTATATTTCAAATAATTCCTTTGAATGTAAAGTACCTTATAAATAGGTAATATAGAATAACATCGTAGTTATTATTATACTTCAAAACATCTTCACTAAAATCAACAACAATCTATCAAAGTCTATTATTTATATTGGCAAACTTATGTCAATTTATTTTTATTATTATTATTTTTTATTATGTAAAATCATTTTTCTAATATACAAACTTGTTGAAATATGATTACAAATTATTTCATTTTTTAATTTATATATTTTTAGCAACTTAGTTTTAAAAAAAAGAAAAAGAATGAAAGAAAGAAAGAAAGAGAAAGTTGGAGCAAGAGGGGAAAATAAGATTAATGTTAAGATTGAAGACTCAAATTTTTTAAAAAATTAAAAATTAATTACTAAATTTGGAATTTTAATGAAAAAGATTTTAAAGATCATTGTTAAAAAAATTCTTGAGGAATAAATTTTAGTCATATTAAAATAAAAATAAGGTGGATATATATATACATATAAAAACATTAACATTAACATTTGTTTGTAATTATGAATACAATGTTAGAATTGATTTTCAAAGTAGAAAGATTTGCAAAATTTGTGGACTAAATATCAAAAAAAAAAAAAATTGCTAGTATGAAAACACAACCCCGTTTTTTTTTATTTACACCGAGGATAAAGTAGAAAGTATAAATAATAAATAATAAATAATGGTTATTTATTCGCCTTACTTTGATCATTGCCTTATTTGTAGTTCTCATTGCTCGCTGTCTGGGTTAGATCACATCGGGCGAGATTCTGCTTTGTAGTTCAAGTGCCGGTAGACATGGCGCCCAAGACTGATGAGCAGAAGGCTGGTAAGAGCAAGGCCGAGAAGAAGCCCATGAAGAAGGCGGAGAAGAAAATCAAGAGCGACGTCAAGAGCGATGTGAAGAAGAAGTCGAAGAAGAGCGTCGAGACCTACAAGATTTATATCTATAAAGTGTTGAAGCAGGTGCGCTTGCCTTTGTTGCATCACATTGCCTTGTTCATGTTTGCCGATTGTATTTCATTGAATTGTGGCAGTTTTACCCGTTTCTGCAATGTTGGTCCCTTGGGGATCTCTTATGAGTCGGTCGGGGTGGCAAGCGAGAATGCGTTGTTTTTGGTTTGTTGTTTTATCCTCTTCTGCATGTGGTTGTGTAGGTGCATCCCGATACCGGTATTTCATCCAAGGCCATGGGTATCATGAACTCGTTTATTAACGACATTTTCGAGAAGCTGGCCCAGGAGGCTGCCAGGCTTGCCCGATACAATAAGAAGCCCACCATCACTTCGCGTGAGATCCAGATTGCTGTGCGTTTAATCCTGCCCGGAGAGCTGGCTAAGCACGCTGTGTCCGAGGGGACCAAGGCTGTCACCAAGTTGACAAGCGCCTAAGTGTTTACTATGTATCTCGAATACAGGGTAATTTTTTGATACCACCCTTCATTGGATCGCACAACTTCTAATGTCACACAGAGTTGCTACTGGCATTTAAGGGTGGAAATTGGACTCATGTATATACAATTTTGTAAATCTGAGTATCAACATTTCTCATTGTGCGTGTGATGTGTAATGTGCGGAGCATTCGTTATTTGCTGCGTGATTCTGGTGAAAGGCGGAATATTTAGTTACACTACCTGGGAAAATGTAGTCCTTGGTTGTCTTGTGCCTAGTCCGTATTACAAAGTACTTTGCAATTTTCTCAGAGCGTCTATGCCTAGAAATTGCGTGGCCGCTCAGCTGTATTAATGGCCACGTAGGAACATAGGGCCCCCTCGTATTGGTTTTGAACTTATTGAAGGCGTGCAAGTTTCCATAATCTCATGGCACCCGAACTCGAACAGATGTGTTACCTTCTACTCATCGATGCCTTCTATGTTTTCACCCCGGGTCTAGTGCATCAAGCTGAATTCGTTTGAAATGTACCATCGGCCAATGAAATGTCTTCTGCAAGCGACGAATGCCACGATTTACAACAGTTTTCTTTGATGAATTATTTCTTGTACACAATGTAATAAAACGAACTAAGTAATGATTAATATTCTTACCAAATAAACTATGTGCACACTGTAGCGATATGTTTTGACAGCAATTAGTATGGCAAAATGCTAAGGACCTCATTTATCTCACCTGTTAATCGACACTGGTGAAAGGGAGTGGGAGATACTGTGACGCACAAGCTGCTAATTCTATCAATTTGGTAATAGAAGCGGTCCCCAGCTGCCTTATCAGCAAGTAGCTGTATCATAAAATAGTTTGTAGTTTTGCGGTTAAATGTCAACCAACAACATCGCAAACTGGACTCCTGATACTTTCTGACGTGAGGGACAGATTGTTCGAAATGAGGACTTTACATACCGTGGGATTAACATACTACAATTATTTATCCAGAAAACTGAAGGTGAAAAATTCAATTCGACAATATTGGTCTCAGAAAACTAGCAATGCCTCAAACTACCTGCACTGAACCCCTCGCTATTTACAAATCAGAAGAGAAGGGTTTGCTACAAAGTCCGCCTCGTAGTTTCGTTCAGAAATAGTGGTGCTGACAGATGATCTGGAAGGCATCTACTCTCCAAGAATGAAGGCTGATTTGTGCAGCTCAATACCGATGATCGTAGCTGCCACATTGAACTTGCGATGAGAGCAACTGCCGTAGTCATAAAGATTTTAGAGGTTCTTGGCGTCTTTCTACCTTGTAAATTGTTGCGCGATCGTTTTCACTTCTATCATACTGAAGCACTGCTTTGAAAAGAACGCGTAATCTACCATCACAAGTTGTTACCGCTGCCTTCTGCTACTTTTCTTTCTTTTTTTGGTCTTTTTTTTCTTCATCTCATTCAATCCCGAAAAAAAACTGACCGTCCAGTTGTTTATAATGCGCTGTTCATCTCGATCCTTGTGCATGAGGCAGGAAAAACACTGAGGGGGATGATTCATAGTTCTTCGGAGCGCTAAGGACCAAATTCAGACTTGCTGAAATTCCACATAACAACCGACTTTGGAGGGTCATCAGGTTGAATGATTGGATGTGGTTGACGGAGAGCGACTCCGGCTACATGACGCAGCCGATGATTTTTCGCCTAGAGCGACGCTGGAGACGCGATCCCCGAGGTCCTGCATTGCACTGAGATGGGTGAGACCGTGTCTTTGTTCGGAAGACGTGTTTGACGTGCGACCAGATGGGTGCGTCGGGGCTTGTGAGGATAGCTCAGAAGGGTTCATTCCACCGAGATGCGATGGATGAGAAGGATCGCGAGAGACAAATTCTGTGTGTGGGGCGTCAAGGTTTGAAGCTGGTGAAGTCATGTGGCTAGCTAAAGTTTCTTTGGCTTTCTCCAAGATGGTTTGCAAGTACTTTCCATGTGCTTCTATTCGCAGTTGAAGAGTTTTCTGAACCTACACCGGTACAGCTCACGAAAATGAGAAAAGAAAAATGAGATAGGAAGAAGTAGTTTCCTGATCAGTGGTACACAAGTAAAATTTCCACGATTGAATCTGAAATTCTGCCATCTTTTCAGGATGTTCGATCATTCACCTCAATTTGTTCTTGGAGCCTACGTTGAGCTTCCATTTGTGAACGTACAGCTTCAGTGATCGCTGGGTTGCTGCAGACACAAGCAAAAGGCTTCCATTAGCCTGGGTCATGGACGCACTACATAATCAAAGCACGGAAGTGACTTCTCCTATTCAGCTTCGTGGAGGAAACGTCTGCACATACTCGTGAGGGTCGTGTGCTGTTGGAGGTAGAGGAGGCCCATCAGATGCGCCGGTGCCAGATCCCTGCATGTCTGAAGATGCTACACAACGTCACGGACAAACCTATGACGATCATCGTCTAACAAGATCATTTTTTTTTTTTAATAACGAAGAAGCGGCATGCAAGATTTAGCTCACGGAGATCAGTGAAATGACAAGTTCAGAACAAGGAAGCTAAGGAAATTCAATTTACCATGACTGAGGTCCTTGTGGGCTAATTCATGAACACGACCCTATTTGCCAATGCTGTTTCCTCAGTCGGTATGTCTGCAAGCACCAACCTAATGATCAAATCCCCTTCCGAGGCAATACTCAGCCTCCGAAGTGTAGATCATGAGCTAATCAGCACCGCGCAATAATTTGAAAGGAACATTGACTTGAGCTCAAACAACGTGAGAACAACAACTTCAACGTCTTCGTCAGTCTAATGACAGGGTTGGCAGGCAGTTCACATCGAGAAACAGGACTTGAGAGAGCCGACATTACCTGTAGATGGCTCTGCAAATGGTGGATCGTTAAGGCGCCTCGCTCCCCTAACCCGCGTCACAGATTTTGGTGTAACCTCTGTCAACCGATTTCACCAGATAAACCGAAAGTTAGACTTTTTCCACTGGAAAGTTGACAATTCTATGGACCACGCACACTCTGACCGCCTCCTGGCAGAAGGAAGCCCCCTCCGGCGCGGTTAAACTTTCAACCTCGGCCACGGGAGGCAAACGAGAGCAGAATGAACGTGACTGAAAAGGGATCAGGACGGGGGGGTGAGCAAGCTACAGTGCCATGCGGTCTACTTGGTTCTGCAAACACTGCATTGTGATCACGGAACTAATTTTAAAGCCTCGAGTGCAAGCTCAGATTAAATCCACCTTGGGAGATGAATACGGTAAATTTTCTTCGCCATAATTACTAATAGTCAAGCCAGATCTTCCGCCTGGATTTTGTGTACCCTTCTCCTCAGAGAAGTTTAATGCTTGTTTAACGTGTTCAATAAAGAAGTGTTAATCTAGTCCAAGTACCTACCGTGTGCCCTGCCTGACAGTACTTGCATCCCAGGTACGCCGAGGAGCTTGTGTTTTAGGAAATGATGAGCATTGCTACCTACGAACTGAGCATCGGATTCTCGTAGGATACGTACACATCATGAACGCAGCGTTGGATGAAGATTAGTTGCCAGAGGGTTTTGGTCAGTTACAAATCTCCAGATTGTGTTTACGATGTATCGTAGTACTTGCTTTATCTTCTGAGGTGAGCTTCGCCAACGTTCTAGAGAGAGATCAGCTGCGAGCTCAGAGTACTTGGGCGGAGTGCAAGGAAGGGAGATGAACCACCATAAGCGCCACCCAGTTGTGTGACAGCGTGCAGTCCACCCTCGTACAGGTCCAGAGTCCTACCGCAGTCGAAGCTTGGCGGTCCACGGGGCTTTACTTTCTTCCTGGGGGGAGCTTGGAAAGCGGAGCTGTATAGCACCAGTGTTCTGTGCTCTCGATCTTGAGCGATCAGTATGTGATGTAGCTGCCTGCGCGGTTGGAACAACCAGGCTAGACACTCCAACACTTCTTCGTCTCTGAATTCCCTTCAAATGACTACGACTTGAAGGGTTTGCTGGGCACTGAAATGAACAGTAAAAGACCTTTTTAGCGACAGCAGGTTTTTTTTGGACTCGAGGTTGAGAGATCACTTCGCCCAAGTGCAGAACCACACGGTTTCTGTCGTACTTGGAAAATAGGTTGACTAGGTAGAGCAATTGTGCTGTCCTTTCTCGGACTAGTATCACAACACTCAAAAGACTATGAACAGTTTCAACGATTTCTGGAACAAAGTCATAATCAGCTGGGCGACGTAAGCCCCAATGCAACGTCTGTAAAATGCAGTTTACGCAGTTTCGCACCCAGGTTACCTAGGATTCGAACGCAAAGACCACTCGTACATGTGCAGCAGTGCTCACAAGGTGCTCCGCGTGCCCGAAAATGGCTTCGTCGATCCAGTGAGTGATCCAGCGAAGTAACCACAGGAATGCAGTCGAGCAGAAGTGGTTCACAGCAGAGAATGACACGGCGACGGAAGAAAGCCAATGCAATCGACGTGGAACTGAACTCCACTTACACAGATCTCCGCAACGTGGAACTCGTCGCTCACTTCGAGATCACACACTGAAGAACAGAATCCGAGTTTCTGGGCCAAGAAATCGACGCCTCAGCGTTTGGGATTGCCACCTCGGAAGCCGCGATCTACCCACCTCGGGATCCAGCGCGTGGGATTCAACGCAACAATACGTCGGATTTCAATTCCGAGGATCTTGTGGCCGATGTTGTGGTTGATCTTCCAGCACAGCGGTGAGTCCACTTGTGGTGCTGCGGCGGGGGCGGTTGAACGCCGCGACGACGACTGTGAGCGACCAAATTCGATCTCGTGGTCTCGTGGAAGCAAATCCCGTCCACTGTGGGGCTTTAATTAATATAACTTGGGCCATTATCGCTCTAGAAAAAACTACTATTATTGCAAAATGATGCTCCTCGTACATATAAATTTATATGAAACAGGGTTTTATCCAATTCGTTTTTTTGAAGTGAGAAAGTTGGCTACAATCCATTAAGAAAATGGCTAATGATTTGTTAGTATTTTTGGGAGTTTTGTTTTGTGGTGTATGTATGTAAATGTGATATCAAACATATAAATTGAAACACTTGTTTATATGTATGTCAATACATCAATACTTTTATGAGTGAATTTGGTGAACATAACCATATATTACATGATACATAATAACTATCATACTTAATAAAATTCATTTCAAGAGTTATATACAATTCAAATTTATGTTTTTAGTTTTGTTAGTGATTTGATGAAAATCTTATGTTTTTTATGAATATGCATGTGAGGATTCATTTATCAACAAAATATATTCTTTCTAAGCCAACACATGATAAATTTTATTGCAATTTAACATACATCAAATAAAAATTTAAGGAATTAAATGCAAGTATAAAGTAGAATGGAATTTCATCATACTCATTTTTGTGCATCATATGCAACCATGTCCATTTCATATAATAGTCATATAATAGTCATATCAATATTTCAAAGATTTTACATTTAACATTCTGATCCTTCAACTATCAAAATATTATTAAAATTTGAAAAGTTACATAGTTTTAAATGATTTTGTAAATACTTCTGTGACAGTGCAGGTTGATATATAAATGTAGGAACAATCTCAATTTGAGCATAAAAGTAGTTTCATAGCCTACATCAGTGGTAATTTCTAACTTGAAAAACATTATATTTGGTTACACATATTTCCATGCTTGTTCTTTGTTGTGATAAAATATTTGGTTTTTCAATGGTATGAATTAACACCAAATTTTAGATTTGACACTTGAGGTAATATATTTATATTCATGTTCATCATCAACCAAAAAAATTGTTTGTGTAAAACAAACAAAAAGTATAATTATAAAATATGTAAATAAATTTTGTCATAAGTTATTGGTTGGTTATTGATAACCTTGAGAATTAGACTTATGGTTAGGCAATTTAGTTGGTAAGAATAGGTTGTTAGTGGAACAAATGGTTAAGAATTCAAAGGTTCATAACCTTTGGAATCTGCTGGCCGACAGTCCATCTTTTGGTAGGATAAAGAGGTTGAAAAAAGGGAGATTGCGGCCAGACTCTGATAGTCGTAAGCTGAGGTGAGCTTGGTGCGACCTCTTTGTTTTCTTTACTTTTATTATTTTCTTATAAAGAATTGTGATTGAGAGAAGTATTGTTGAAACCTTAATTAGAATATTATAGAATATGACTTTAAACTGACCGTTTTGGAGAAAATCTGTGACCTTGAGAATTGAGATTATCGAATTGTGTTGTGTTAAGTGAAGATATTGAATTTTGTGTGATGAATTGAGAAACTGAATATAATAAGTAAGCTAGAGATAAGTAATTAAATATATATAAACTGCAAAGAGAGTAAGTGGAAGATGAACTGATAAGAATATGGAAGTATTGTTGAATTGATATTCATAGAATGGATTATGTGTTGAATTAAGATGGAAGTAGTAAGCCTTGGTGTTTTGTAGTTTGATAATTGATTTTAGATAGCCAGAGTATAATCAATTGTGATACTAACAAATCCAATTCATATAACCAGTCTTTTCCCGTGTTCGAATCTACTTCTATTAATTCAATTGATTTGGTATATTGAAGCTTGAACATAACAAGAACAACATTTTGGCGCCGTTGCTTGAAAAATTATAACAATATGAAATATTAGAAATTGATTGTATGGGAGATAGAATTATATGTTGAATGAGAATGTGAAAAGGACTAGTTTTAGGATTACAAATATGTAAGTTATAATTCAAGGCAGTATTGATTTTGTAAAGAAGAATAAAAGATTATGAGTGATAATCATGAAGGGGAGGATTATCAAAGAATTAATTGATAAGTGAAAGAAAGACAGGAGCGATTACGCATAAGAAAGCTCCTATAAGAACAACAAAAACGAATTATAGGTCCAAGTAAAACATAAAGAAGAAAAATTCAAATTCAAATAGCAAGGAAACTAGTGATAACACCAATGGCCGCGGAAGTGCCAGAAGTACCAATTGCAGTACAAATGGGAGCAGTAGGAGACCACACTACAAGTATGGCACCATTACCTACTTTTAGTGGTTGGCCGGGCTCTGATCCTGATCACCATGTATCTCAATTCTTGACAACCTGCATGGCTAATAATGGTAGAATTGAAGATATTTGGTTGAGATAGTTGCTAGCAACTTTAAAAGATATAGCTTTTGAATGGTATAATCAACAATCAGTGGATAGATTTTCCAATTGAGAGGCCTTGAGGAATGCCTTCCTAACCCATTTTAGACCAATTGGATTTGAAGATCAGCTTAGAGAAAGTTTGATGAATAGCAAGATGTTTGTGGAGGAATCAATAGAATCCTATTATAGCCAGATCGTGGATATACTTCGTAAATGGTCAAATAATCAAATGCCAGATGTATTTATATTATCGATATTAATTAAAAATTTGCATCCACCAGAATTAAAAATGTTTGTAAAAGAGGTTCTACCAACTACGATAGAAGCATTGTTGGCACGAGCGAAGGTGTGGGAAGAATGTCATTATGACCAATTCTTAACAGTGGGAGCCATGATGATTCTAAGTTCAAGAACTCAACAAATACAATCGAAAAATGTGTCGATGGATAATTATTAACAAATAGCTACCTCCAATATGAAGAATGTTATGTTGCAAAAACCAATTAATGCTACCCCACTCCAAGCAATAGCGCCAATAAAAATAACACCTTATTTTACATCGCCAACCTATCAATAACCAAAGTTGTTTACAAATGTGATTATTAAAGATTCAAATGAAGCCTTCTTATTAAATCTAACAAAGAAGATGGAAGAATTGGCCGTGAATTTGGCTAAAGATAAATAGAAACGATATAAGCCTTCTAATACAAGACCTAATGTATGGTGTAATAATTGTAAGGGACAAGATCTTTTTGATACGGAATGTCCATCATCCACACAAATGGGTGTTCAATGTACATTTTGTGAAAGAAAGCACCCTACTCAAAACTATTGGTATTTACAAAGGCAACAATAGTTCAATAATTAGACGTTAATATAGCCAACTCAATAGGATGTTAATCAAGTACACACTGAAAATATGGATGGTTGAAATAATAATCACCCAAATCGACCTAATCATGGCTTTGGAAATTTTTAAAATACTAATTATAATCCAGTTTATGGAACAAATATGCAGAACAGTGGAAATAATCAAGGAGATAATTTCCAAATTATACCAATTTATCAGTCCAATTCTCAACT